TTTTTGGCCCAAACATTTTATTTATTTTATTTTATTATTTTCTTATTTTAGCCCGAATAATAAAAGTCAGAAAAAAGCCCGAAATTATCAATCGGCACTTAAAAAGCCGAAAGAAATTAGGGTTAAAAATGAATTTAGACGGAAAAATAGACTGGAAGTGACCGTGTCACGGTACAGTCTGACCGTGTCACGAGAACCCTTCCCGTCTGACGGTGGGGCTTCCCGTGACACGGGAGATCTGCCGTGACACGGGACGTTCCGTGTCCTTTCCGCGTAAACCCTTAACGCGTTTTTTATTCCGTTTTATGAAAATTTCCCGCGTCACTCCAAAACTGTACCGTGTCACGGGGAAGTGTACCGTCTAACGGTACAGTTTGACCGTGTCACGGGATACTTTTTTAGGGTTTTTATCATTTAGGGTTCCGTGTGCTCCCTCAGCACATTTTCCCTATAAATACCCCCTCATTTCTGATGTACGGGGCACCGAGTAATTCTTTTATTTTATTCTCTCTCTTCTATGCTTTAGCCTAAACACTAGCCTACCCTTTTCACTTCAAAATTCCTTCTTCAAGCACTCAAAGGAGTCCATATTTTACTCGAGGTTCTGTCCTTAAGCCAAGGCGTGAAAGGTAGAACTGTTTGAGGGTTTGGCCCCAAAATCAATTTTATTTCATTTAATTTAATTTAGTTATTGTTTATTTATTTCCTTGAAGTTACTAACTCGTTTTTTTATTTTGTAGTTGCAAGCAAACAGATTCAAAGTAAGGATCATGCTCTTGTTATTATTATTTTTCTAACGATTTTTATGTTGTTGGAATTGTGATTAAATTGGTTTTAATATTAATGTTGATTTTATTTTATTGATCACTATATTGCATGTTTAAAGGGAATATGTAATTGAAAATCACGCCTAATAAGATAATTTGGACAACCGGTTTAGGATCCTTTTAATCTTATTATTAATTGAAGTGATCACCAAATTTTTAGAATTATGTGTTGCTTTAATATTCAACCAATTTAGTTAAATAATAGTTTGGAGCGAATTGAATTATTGTTTGTATGTCTTTGGGATCACAGGAATGCTTTTCAATATAAGAATCGAGTAGAGGCCAATACGGGCGAATGTGACTCCATGACTCACTTCGTACCATCATCCCCGATCCTCCTTTCGTGGTTCCGAACCATATGGAGTTAGTAATCTCATGGATTATGAATGGGGTGTAACCTTCACGGGTCAATCGTTGTTGCCTATCGTTGTCCCTTATCGTGGTTGCCTTTTTATGATCCGCGAACGGTTTACAAGTTCCTTAAAAACTTGTTGGCGGCTCCTTACTTTATTTGTCCCTAATCGTATATGTCAATTCCCACTTCCTATGAGTGCCAAGCATATTCACCACATGCTTTTTACGTAGGCGCACTTCGAGCGACGCCTACAGTTATAAAGTAAATGGAGACTGTTATAAGGTAAATAGAAATTGTTATAAAGTAAATAGAAACTCTTATAAAGTAAATAGAAATTATTATAAAGTAAATAGAAACTCTGATAAAGTAAATAGAAACTGTTATAAAGTAAATAGTTATAAAGTAAAATATTTACTATTATATGTCTATGAAGTCTATTGATAAGTTTAATAAAGTTAATCAAATTGCTTATAAAGTAAATATAAATGTTTTCAAAGTTAGTTAACATGTTTTAACAAATTAAAGGAACAAAAGAAAGGATAAAATCTGAAGTGAAAGATAGCAATTATGAACCAGAAGAAGATAAGAATGAGGATTCTGATGGATCATCAGAAGAAGACAGAAAAAGGGAAAAGCTCATTTGAAGAAAAAAATGAAGCTTGACAATTCTGACCTTGATGTACATGAAGTTATTGATGGTAATGATGATGATGATGGTAATCTAGAAATCCAGAAAACACACTGCAGACCCAATGCAGTTGTTGATTTGATCAAGGATTTCAGTGAGCAGCAAAAAAAAAAGATGTCATTAGTATTGGTTTTGGAGGGCTGCTTGAACTAAAGTTAAGAAGAATTTCAACAAAGATGCTTCCATGGCTTTGTCACCATTTCAATGAAAGCAGCTGCATGTTCAAGATTGACAAGCTGAAGGAATTTTCAGTTAGTTCCTATGATGTTGAAGATATATTCTTGCTTCCACATGTAACTGAGAACAAGGTCAGTTTTCAGTTAAGGAAGCAAACTCTATCAAACTTGTTGATTCAAAAAGAATGGAAGAAGAAGCTAGGAATTCCAGAAGATGATGAGATAATTGTGAATAATTTGGAGAACAAATTAAAGACTCTTAAGGAAGGAGGGGAGGATTTTAAAAGATTTTTTGTGATGTATGTTTGCAGCACATTCTTGGCCCCTGTTGCAAATAGAGTGATTGATTACAAGATAATCAACTATGCAGACAATGTGAAACAGATACATAACCTAGATTGGTGTGGTTATGTGATGAATAACTTGTGCAAAGCTGTGGGGAGCTTCAAGAACAACAAAAACAAGGAATCAAGATCAGGAATCAGTGGATGTGTCCTGATTCTTCAACTTGTCTACTTTCATCATCTGGCATTTAGAGGGCAGCCTGAACCTACAACGCTGCCATTGATCAAACATTGGTCAGATGAGAAACTGAAAGAAAGAATTGCAAATGAGGCAAAGGCATCTTTTGGTCAAGGAGAACTCCAAAAAGATGACTATCCATTTTGTAGAAGAAAAGGAAAGCAAACATTCTTGGGAGATGTAATTGAGAATGCTTATAGAAACTTTGCTGATAGAAAGAGAAGATTGGTTTCATTCAATCTACCAGAAGGTGTCATGACAGATAGTGAAATACATGATGCTGCAAAAGATGTGAGTAATGTTTTTATAAGTTACAATGATTTCTTGTATTTACTTTAAAATGAAATGTGTTTACTTTTATCACATATTTGTTTACTTTTATTATTTTGAATTGCTCTGCTTCTAGTACTAATAATGTATAGTAAATGATAAACATAAAGTAAATAATGTAGACTTAAAAGTAAACAAATTAGCTTAAAAATTAAATAGTATTTATGTTCAAAAATAATGTATTAATAAATTGTTGTTATTTATTTTGAAAGAAATTGAAGAAGAACTGAATTTGTTAACTAGGGATTCAAAACTCTTTCCAATGATACATGATGAGCATATAGCTACCTTAGGAGATAAGATGAAACATCAACAAATGAATGTGTCTACATCAAATTCTCAATAGGTTCTTGAATCATAAAGGCTGATGGAAGATCTTAGAGTACAAAGGGCTATGGACGAAATAGTCAGGCTTTATGATGATTTAAGAGATGTATCTAGTGTGATTTTGTCAACATGGGAGGAGCAACACAAAAATTCTGAAACGGATCCTAAAACTAATCAAGAAGATGCAGTTGATCCTCAATCTGTCAATTTGGATGATGATAATGAAGATATGAAAATAGAGGATCTAAATTATGAAAAAAAGAGGAGCATGACAAAAAAGAGGAGGAGGAAGAAGAGAAGGAGGAGGAAGAAGGGGAGGATGACAAAAAAGAGGAGGAGGAAGAAGAGGAGGAGGAGGAAGAAGAGGAGAAAAAGGAGGAGGAAGAAAATGAGAAAAAGAAGGATGAGGAAGAAAAGCAGGAGAATGACAACAAAGAAATGGACGAGGAGAACAAGGAATAAGACAAAAAGGAGAACAAGGAAGAAGACAAAAAGGAGGATGAGAAACAACTGAATGAACCAGAGAAGGAACAAGAGAAAAGGAGGATGAGAAGCAGAAAAAGAACACTGAAAAGAAAGAAGAGAAGAATGAAGAGAGAGAAGAAAAGGATGATGATAACCAGACAGTTGATGCTGATATTATTAGTGTAGTACACTCAGTCACTGAGAGTCTACTAAATCAGCCAACACAAAAAACAATTGAAAGTATGTTTTTAACTTTAGTAAATATTTAATCAATCCATAGTCAATAGTGTATAATTGTTTTGAAACTATATCTACTATTTTATTTCAGGTGATGCTGAAAAACAACTTCAGGCAGAAACAAACATTGAACTAAAGGACATTCACCGGGAGATAGTTTCAAAGGTTAAAATCAATTTAGATTGTGGAGAAAAAGATGTTGAAATTGATTTTGTTTCAAAGACAATGAAAGGAAACAAATCAAGAATATAATGCATGAAATGCCAGAGCTTTATCAAGTAGTGGCTGATTACTGCTTTGTGAAGTACAACCCATTCAAACAGTAAGTAATGTATTATTTAATTTCAAACATATTATATCTACTTTAGATAATATTTAGTTTACTTTAAATAATATTTTATTTACTATAAATATTTAATTTTGCACAATGAAGAGATTAGGAAATTTGAAAGTCTTCTCATGATAACAAGAGATGACACAACATCCCTAGCCCCAACAGCCCCTACTCAAATGATAAAATCTAATATATTTCAATGTCGGTCATTTCTTATGAATGATTCTCGATTGAAAGAAGATCCTTCATGCTTCTTTTTTGGCATTGACCACAATGTAAGAGTTAAATAAAATGTTAAGCTAAATCATAATTAAACATGTATGATCTCATTAAGTAATATGTTTTTTGTGCTCATTAATACACAGAGACCTCTAGAGCTGTCTCTCAGGTCACAAGATACTTCCCAACAAACAGATAAAGCACATGTGAAGTCTTCTTCAATACACTCACAAGAATTGAATCACTAGTGGAAAATTTTCATTCGTAACAGGCTATTTGTAACGGGCAAAGTTATGCTCGTTACAATAAAAATATTCGCAACGGTCAAAATAACAATCCGTTACAAATACATATTATTCGTAATGGGCACCATATTGCCCGTTACGAATACTTATTTATTCGTAACGGACAAGATAGTGCCCGTTACAAATGTTTGAATTTGGCCCAACTGATGAGAAAAGCCCACTTATAGTTATAACTAGGACTCCTTACTTTCACTCTTCTCAAGCCGTCTTTCCTCTCTCCTCTTTCCTCGGCTCTCTCCTCTATCATTTCACTCAATCTCTCTCTTCTCCTCACTAAATCTCCTCCATTTTTATCTCCTCTATGTGGATATATGAACAACGGAACAAGCACACGATAGTGTCATAACTTCTACGACTAAAGATGCTTCGATGGTGGTTCCGGGTCCTGTTGGTAATTTACTCGCAAAGATTCGGTAGATTGAAGCTGGTTTGATTGAAGAAGAAGAAGGTATTAATAATCCAGGCGTTATTGCAAAATGTGCTGAGATTCAGAATGCTATAAGGTGAACTAATTTCTCTTTTTTTTTTTGTTTCTGGGTTCATTTTGATTTTTTTTTATTTATGGGTTTGTTTGATCTAATTTGTGTGACTTGATTTGGATGATTTATGGGTTTGTGTTAATTTTGCTGGATATTTTGTTATATACAATAAGGGAATTGAAATTTTGTGTGTGTTTGATTTTTTTTTTTTTTTTTGGTGGAATGTGTCAAAGATTAATTCATTTTTGGCTGTGTATAATTATGTGTGTGTTTGATTCGTTGGTAAGCCTTAATCTTAGCAGTAATCTCATTTGGGGTACTATCCCAGAATAGATTTCTCAGAGCTGTTGGTATCCCCTCCTTTCGAAGTATATGCATTTGTTTGATTCTCTGAGCTTCCAGATGATCTTATAAAGCTGATTTCGAAGTATACATTTGTTTGATCTCTGGTATTTTCGAGATAAAGCTGCTGGTATCCCCTCCTTTTGTCGTTCCTATTGTCTTTTTAAGCTTAAATGAATTGAAATCTTGGTATTAGTTGAACTGATATTTGTCAAACTGCTTTTGCTTATGAAGCATGTATATATGATTTCTTCACTATAGCTACTTAGATAAGAACTAAACATGTGCTTATTTTTGCCGCTGTTATAATACTCGAGTCTTGACACTCCTTGCTTATTGGATTTGTCTCTCTACTTGCTGTTAATGTCCATGATCATTAGTAGCAGGGTAACCATTGAAGGGCCCTGGTGTAATTACTATAATGTTTTTTTCCTTCGCTGCTAATTTCTCATGTCGTACTCCAGTAAACTGATAAATTTGTGACGAACTTGATTGAATAAGAGGTTGCAAATGAGTCATTTGGATTAGCTAGTGTGAGTCCATAACAAGTAGGAAGTCTAGGGACACATATGTGGGACTTTCTTACTGATTTTAAGGCTATACATGATCTTTGATTTTTGTCATGATCTTTGATTTTTGTCATTATAAATTTCTATAAATGTAAATTTCATCATCATTAGATTCATTTTAATAATTTAATTTGTAGGCAAATGCCAACTGTCATCAATCATCATGCCTGGTTGTTAGCTCTAAGTTATAAATATGATTGTCGATAGCTGTCCTTGTCATGAGTAAATGACCACCTTCCTCATATCCAATGTAATTGCGATTTAGTCTTCTTTCTCTAAAGTACAAATTAACAACTTTTAAAACTTGATCCGGATGCCCAAATATCATCATTAAATACCTGCAATGATTTTAATCGATTATGTTTGAGTTTACAATAGGGTAAAATATGAATTTTAGACTTTTAGTCTTTTAAATAGATATAAGAACTCTAACACCCATATAACATCATTAAATGCCTGTATATCTAGCTATGTTCAATTATTTATAACTATGTACTCAATTGGTTCATTTTCATTCTAGTCCTTTGCGTAAGAACTCTTAGACCCAGATACCATTGATAAATACTTGTATTTAGTGGTGGTGTTGGTTTTTACATTAGGGTTCAATAGGAATAATATTCAATTGCAGCGCTAAAAGTGTTAAGTGACGCTGAAAGTAACATTAATTCCAGAATAGAGGGAGTGTTTGAAAGTTAAATTTCTAAAGTAATAACTTTCACAAAGTGACCATCAAATACATGCTTTCTGATGACACTACGTTTTCGTATGAAAAGTATCACTATTTCAGCATTGATGAAAAGTATCACTATTTCAGCATTGAAAATTGTTGGAGGATGATTATTTTGGGAGGACTAGAAGCTGCCGACATGGGGTAAATCAGCCCTTCAGTTCTAATATAATGAACATTATGAATACGCTTATGATATATCTTGTTGTGGTGCCTAATTAATATACACTGGTATACTATCTCAGGCAGTGTTTTGTTTCTTACACCCTTTACGAGCAGGAACAAAAATGAAACATAATGCTGGGCTTTTAGCTCAACTATTGTCTTGCTCGAATAAGTTCCATGTTGTTGATGTTGAATGTTGTTCTATTCTTATTTTTTTGCATGAGTTAGGCAAGGGTGGTACTTTCATACTTGAATGATTGGCTGGTGGTATTTGTTGGAATTCATGCTCCAAAAGAGAAGATGTTCTGATGTAGTGATATTTAAAGATATTTAAATAAGTTCATCAATAAAATTTAGAAGTTTTTAAGATTTGTTTAGACTTGGAAATTAACCATGGGAACTAAGAATATTTCATGGGCCATATGTATTTGCATTAGTATAACATATCAATTTGTACTCTGATGCATCTATCAAACTGAATGTTTAATTTTACTGCAAAAACTTTGTTGGCCATAGTTATCGGGCATTAAATTTTGAAGTTGCAGAAATCTTAAGCAGCAAAGAGAGATTATATTTTAGTGATAAGCTTGGTATGAAACTCTTTCTATCTCACATAAAGCTGCTTTATCAAATTTGTCACAACTTAGATTAAACTGTATGCATGTCCTTTTCTTGCAGCTCCCTAATAGGAGAAGTGCTCAGGTGATTGCATATTTAGTACTCGAAGAAAAACCTTGGGATTATGTCGGTATGTAATCCTTTTAACCCTCAAGAAAAAGGAAAAAAAAAAAAATTAAATAAAGAGAGCAGAGAGCAGAGAGGGATGTGGTTAATATGGTTAACTTGTGCATTTCATACCTGACTGATATTGACTTGAAAATATCTGTCCTCTTTTTTTTTGATATTTCAGAGAGACTCCCTAGCTACTTGGTGTTGAATGTCACTAGCTCAATTCTGATATTTTAGAGAGACAATCTGTACACTTGTTAACTAAGTAATGCACATTTCACACCTACATCTTCTCTGTATAGTCTTAAACAAGGCAATCGACTCCTGGTAGCAGTGAGAAGATTGATATGCTCTTGATTGCTGCTGTTACTACTGGCCTGCTACTGTTTGTGCTCCATTGTTTACTAAATTTTGTAATCAATAGCGTTTTGGACTTCTCAATAGGAGAGTTTATAATTAGCATACAAAATTGGATTTGGTGTATATATTATGTTCGATAATATGTTTGTGGCATGAAATATTTGAATTTGTTATAAATTATTATAATAATTTGGGTGGTAAATAGAAAGAAGAATAGGGGTATTTGTAACTAGCACCTGGAATGCTTGTTACAAATGCCCCTAATTTTTTTTCTTATTCGGAGATTATTCGTAACGGACATTATAAGTGCCCGTTACGAATAACATTGCCATCCGTAACGACCGCATACGTAACGGTCATTGCCCGTTACGGATAGTCTATTTTTGTCCGTTACGAATAGACATTTTTCCACTAGTGAATCAGACATGGTATGATTGGATGTGCCTATGTGATGCAAAGGAGAAAATTTTGACAGCTCAGTTGGTATGTCTTATTATTTATGTCTATTAAACTACATTGAAGGGCATTATAATTTTGAATTTGTAGACTAATAACTGTAATTTTAATGACAGATTTTTGTTCCAATCTGTCTGAGTAACCACTATAGTTTAATAGCGATTAACTTTATGAATCAAACAATTCAATACTTGGATAACAGGGAGTATGATGACATGCATAAGCCTTTCTACAGAATTCTTGGATCTATTGTGGTAAGATTTTTTGGCTTTATAAAAAGTAAATTATTAAAGTAAATAAGACTACTATTAAAGTAAATGAATATGTATTAAAAGTATACATTATAATGTCTGTAAAAAAAATAAGATAAAATATAAAATAAAACATGTTCTGATTAAAGTAAATAATATTCTTATTAAAATAAAAGAATATCTATTAAAAGTATACATTATATTACTTGTAAAAAAAAATATAAAATATGAAGTAAAAGATGTTCTGATTAAAGTAAATCATATGTTTATTAAAGTAATTTATACTATAAATTTGTATTACTTATATATTTCTTTACAAATGTTATAGGTGGAGGAAATGTCAAACTTTTTGAAGAGAATTAATAATGAAAAAGCTGATGAAATACTAGAATATGAGTTTGATGAAGTAAATTTTAAGTGGAAGACACCAAGATATACTCTTGATTGTGGTGTTTTTGCAATGATACATGTGCTGTGTTTTTCTGGAGACACTTTTGATTCTGACCTTGATTTAGCAAGTAGGAGAAAGGTGTATTGCGCAAAAATGTGTGCTGCTCTTGCTTTGGCAAACATAAACACCAAAAGAAAAAACTTATGGAAAAAATTTCAAGTTTCAGGGTAGTTAGGAAACTAGAGAAGGAGAAAGGGGTGGAAGATATGATATGTGTTTCTGATTTCTTGAAGAAACACAAGGAAGTAATGGATAACATGAGTTTGACATGTCACCAAGTGATTGACTACTTAGCAATCAATGATGATGAAAACTTTCCAAACAAGAAAGTATGTTTTATACTTACTAAAAAACAAATACTCATATTGCATTATATATAACATTGTTTGCCATAAGTATAACTTTAATTTTAATTCAAAATTACAGCGAAGTAGTTGGATGGTTTATAGATTCAATTGAAATAGTAAGGAAAGATTGTAACGCTTTGCCTAATGAATGGAAAGTTTCAAGTAATATGATCAGTACTTGGTCAAACCACCTCAATAACATTGAAATGCAAAAAGACAGATCTGAAAATGACTTGGTCAGATTCTTCTTTGGATTCGAGTTCATGGTAAGTTTTTCCGATTTAATTTTATAATTGAAAATTATGCATTAAATAAATATTAGAAATAATCTTTGGATTTTTTTTTGAAGGATGATTTAACAATGTTTTTTTATTTGAAAATACAAAAATATTTTGTTATTTGGTTGAAAAAGAATAAGCTTGGGGGAGGAGTTGCTTTGTAATCTATTGCTAATTTTTTATTTGAAAGTTGGTAGTTTATTGAGTTTGAATTGAGGAATGATCTACCTTGCTTCACTTCTAAGTTTACCACCAATTTCCAAATTTATTTCCATACCCTTTACCCTAGCCTAAACGTTTCAACCCTTTTAAAACCTTTTGACCTTAGTGAGGTTTAGTTACTACCGGTTGAGGGTAATTAAGCCAAGCCTATTGAGCGAGCTATCGATTCCAAGATGTCGGGTAGCCTAAATGTTTTTCTTTGTTTATTTCTTCCAGTTCCTTCGAGGAATCTCGATATATCACCTTAAAAGTGGATGCAAAACTAGTGAGGACGCAAAAGTTTGGTTGGAGATAAGGAGGAGTGTAAGTCCCTCTAAGTTCTCTACCCTTTGCATGCTTTATGTGTGTACCAACCTTAGTTATTATTTTTCTTGGCTACCTTTAATGTCTAGAAAGGATTGTATTCTTGTGCACTTAGCCCGTTGTTTGTGTTTGGTTTGAAATGTCAAAACTCGAGTTTTCTTGATTTCACCTTTGCCTTGAATGTTATGTATTGCCAAGAGTTGTGGGTTAAACCTCACGAGAGCTTACTCGTCCTCTTTGGCGACATGGGGGTTTAAAGGGCTTGATGTATACGCTAAATGCATCCGTGATTCCTACGATAGTGAGTTAGTGTACATTCTTTCTCTTTGTTTTTATTTTGTTTCTTTTGCTTTCACTAATTCCATCTTGTTCTCTTTTTCCTTAGCTTTTCTCGAGGACGAGCAAAGTTTTAGCTTGGGGGAATTTGATGAGTGACATTTATGTCACTCTTAAAGAGTAGTTTTAGAGTTATTTTCATGTTTATTTTCCCTTATTTTCGCTTTTATTCTCTTGTTTTCTTTTAATAAAATTTCTAGTTTATATCTTAGTTTAAGTATGTTTTAATTTAATTTCTTTATTTAATTGGTTTCTAGTTTATTTTCGTATTTTATTTGCTTTCGATTTATTTTATTTCGTTCCTTTTCTTTGTTACTTTCATAGTTTTTATTAGTTTTAAGTTTATTTTGTTATTTATTTGATTTTATTTACTTGTGTAGTTTTATTTAATTTTTATTAGTTTAGTGTTATTTCTCTTTTTCTATTTTACTATATTTATTCCTAATTTATTTATTTCTTTTTTATTTGTCTTGATTTCTCCTCGGTTTTGTGTTTAGGGTCCCGGGTTTCATGTAAAGTGAGTTCGGAGTTCGGGGACGAGTAAAAGTGTGTGCAATTCTTTGCTAAGTTGCTGACTGTTGCCCACATTAACCTTCACCCCACCATCTCCTATCCTCCACCACACCAATAACACCAACTGCAACAGCAACATCAACAAACACAACAACACCAGCACCTCAATTCCACTCACCCTCACCAACACGAGCTGCAACCTAATCCAAACCATAGCAACCACATCAATTAACCGCACCTGAACCACCATTACCCACCGATTCCACTCCATCTCCAACGCAACTGCACCACCGCAACAATCAACCAACACCCCGCAACACCAAGCTCCCCTGCTCTAACCCCCTAGCAAACATAACAGCTACAAACCGCAGCCACCAACCTTTCCCTTACTCCCTCACTCAACCAACCAACCACCGGCCCGCATCTTCACCTTTAGCCATCCCGCAACATCCCTCACACCAACCATCCCGCAACAGCTACACCAGTATAGCAGCTGCACTAGCCACCGCTGCTGCCACCAATCAACCACCTTCAGCCACTCAAATCGGCGCACAGAGCAGCTCTCCTCTCCACGCAAACCCACCTTTCGCCAGCAACAGCAATTGCACCTAAGTCAACCCCATCAATTCGCACAAGCATCACCCAAATTCTGAGCAATTCAAGTTCATTCGGGTTCGAGCAAACCGCATAGGAGTTCGGTCGAAGTGCGAGTCAGAAACTTTTGAAGTTTTGTAATTTGAAGAGGTGCGGTCGAACACACCCATGGTTCGACCGAACCAACCCCGTAGTTCGGCCACACCAACCCATGGTTCGACCGAACCATTTCACGAGCTTCGTGCGTGATAATTAATGAGATCAAACTGTGAAGCTTGGTGATTACCGTTGATCTTCAATTTGGGATGATGATGTCCGTTGATGATGGTGTGATGCGGTGGTGATGATGATCATAGTGCAGCCAAAATATCGAAGAAGAGGGGGAAAAGGGTCTGATATGTTTTGGGGATTTTGGGGGTTTATTTTTCTTTTTCTTTTAATTATATTTCTTTTCCTTCCCCCCTTTTTTTTATTTCTTTCTTTCATTTTTTTATAATTAGTTTCGTTCTTTATTTTTCCTTTTTTATTTTATTTTCTTTTCTATTATTTGCTTAGTTTTATTAGCTTTGTATATATACCCATTTTGGGGTAATTAAAAGAAGGAAAAACAATTAACATTTATTCTATTCTCTAATTAGTTTTAGGAGAGCTTCTCTCTCTAGGTTTAGGTTAGGATTAGAGTAGTTTAGAAAGAGAAAGTGAGGATTTCACCATTGTTGAGTTTGGATTTTGAAGAAGAAGATTGATCATCTTGTTTGTAGACTTTCATCTTCAATCAATGACAATCTCTAACTCTCTCTCCTCTATTTTATTTGCTTTCTTTTGATTATTATTTTTATTGTTGGTGTTGCTTATTAATCATGTTTATTCTTGATTATTTGTTAATTAACCTTGTTATTAGCATGATTAGTGAGTAATTCCCTCATTAAGGGGATGGTTGTGGTGTAGTTGGATCTTGAGCATGTTCTAGGGTTTAGAATTGATTTATTTGTGATCAAACTCTTTATATGCTTGATATTCTTTAATTTTCTTGTAAGTTCACATTGTTGGTTGATTAAAGGTGAATCTTTGCTAACAAGAAACGGAAGTTGACTTAGTTAAGGTTCATTACTATCGATTGTTCTTTGATTGCACCTCTCAATATATGGTTCTAGTATGGAAACATAGAGGCTATGTTAGCAGCTTCCATTACCGTTGTGTTATCTTATTGAGACTAGTCCATTGTATATAATTTTCATTCTATTTGTTGGTTTTTATTTGTGTTGCTTTATTTGAAAAAATGGCTTATATTTCTATTCCTCAATTTGATAATGAACCGTTTTGGGTGTATTTCAATAGACTTGAGGATTTCCTAGATGGTGTTAAAGGTTTTACCAAGGGTGATTATTGTGAAATCATTAATTTGAGATTAAATGAGCATTTTAGAGTAGTAGTTAAC